TAATGATGTTTTTGTTGCAATCCAACCCCACACTGCACAAGTCTCTAGTCCTCAATAAGGAACAATTTCGTTACCCTAGAATAGGCTGAGGGTTTCCCTTTCCCCGTGTCCCCTGTACAACAGTTGGGGATGTATCTATTTCTTGGATTGCTGTGAGCTTTCCACGTTGTTCCAGAAGCACTCTCTCCTGACATTTCGCCCACATCTATGGCAGGTATCCTCAGAAGTTGAGGTCTGTTGGAAACTAGGACAGTGAGGTTTATATATCTGTGGAATAATGTCCAGGGTGGGAGAAAGAACTCTTGTCTGCTTGAGGCAAGTGTGAATGTTGCAATTTGCCACCTTTTGTGTGTGTGTGTGTGTGAGGAGTGACTTGAAAAACTGTAAGTCGCTTCTGGTGTGAGAAAATTGGCTTTCTGGGTTGTTGTAGGTTTTTCCGGATTATATGGCCATGTTCTAGAGGCATTTTCTCCTGATGTTTCGCCTGCATCTATGGCCTCACAACCTCTGAGGATGCTTGTCATAGATGCAGGCGAAACGTCAGGAGAAAATGCCTCTAGAACATGGCCATATAACCCGGAAAAACCTGCAACAACCCAGTGATTCCGGCCATGAAAGCCTTCAACAATAAATTGGCTTTCTGCAAGGATGTTGCCCAGGGGACACCTGGATGTGTTGATGTTTTACCATCCTTGTGGGAGGCTTCTCTCATATCCACACATGGGGAGCTGGAGCTGACATAGGGAGCTCATCTACAAAACATTAGAAACTAGGCAAGTGAGGTTAATATATCTGTGGAATGTCCGGGGTGGGAGAAGGAACTCTTGTCTGCTTGAGGCAAGTGTGAATGTTGTAATTGACCACTTTGATTAGCACTGAATGGCCTTGCAGCTTCAAAGCCTGGCTGCTTCTTGCCTGGTGGAATCCTTTGTTGGGAGGTGTAAGCTGGCCCTGATTGTTTCATCTCAGGAATTCCCCTGTTTTCTGAGTGTTCCTATTTATTTACTGTCCTGATTTTAGAGTTCCATGTTCCAGAAGCATTCTCTCCTGATGTTTCGCCCACATCTATGGCAGGCAACCTCAGAGGTTGGGAGGTCTGTTGGAAACTAGGCAAGTGAGGTTTATATATCTGGAATGTGGGAGAAAGAACTCTTGTCTGCTTGAAGCAAGTGTGAATGTCACAATTGGCCACCTTGATTAGCACTGAATGGTCTTGCAGCTTCAACGCCTGGCTGCTTCCTGCCTGGTGGAATCCCTTGTTGGGAAGTGTTAGTTGGCTCTGATTGTTTCATGTCAGGAATTCCCCTGTTTTCTCAGTGTTCCTCTTTATTTATTATCCTGATTTTAGTGTTCCATGTTCCAGAAGCATTCTCTCCTGACGTTTCGCCCACATCTATTGCAGGCAACCTCAGAGGTTGGGAGGTCTGTTGAAAACTAGGCAAGTGAGGTTTATATAACTGGAATGTCCAGGGTGGGAGAAAGAACTCTTCTCTGCTGGAGGCAAGTGTGAATGTTGGAACTGATCACCTTGTTTAGTATTGTATGGCCTTGCAGCTTCAAAGTCTGTCTGCTTCCTGCCTGGGGAAATGTTTTGTTGGGAGGTGTTAGCTGGTCTTGATTTTTTCATGTCAGGAATTCCCCTGTTTTCTGAGTGTCCCTCTCTATTTACTATACTGATTTTAGAGTTTTTTTTAAATACCAGTAGCCAGATTTTGTTGATKTTCATGGTTTCCTCCTTTCTGTTGAAATTATCCACATGCTTGTGGATTTCAATGGCTTCTCAGTGTAGTCTGACATGGTGGTTGTTAGAGTGGTCCAGCATTTCCRTACCTTCAACTTGCTTCTGAGATGATAAATTTAACATTTCTGTGTTCTCCAATAATATGGTGTGCCCAGGAAGCAGCCAGACTTTGAAGCTGCAAGGCCATTCAGTGCTAATCAAGGTGGCCAATYGCAACATTCACACTTGCCTCAAGCAGAGACAAGAGTTCTTTCTCCCACCCTGGACATTATTCCACAGATATATTAACCTCACTTGCCTAGTTTCCAACTGTCCTCACAGCCTCTGAGGATGCCTGCCATAGATGTGGGCGAAACGTCAGGAGAGAATGCTTCTGGAACATGACCTAACTGAACAAATCTGCTTTCTTTACAAAAACAAAGTATGTATACTTTGAGATAGATAGGAAAGGTTGGAAATCTGTTGGTTAAATAGCAGCCTAAGTTAGATTTCCCCCAGCTTTGCTTTGTAACTACAGTACCGTATATACTCGAGTATAAGCCGACCTGAATATAAGCTGAGGGACCTAATTTTGCCACAAAAAAACCCTGGGAAAATGTATTGACTCGAGTATAAGCCGAGGGTGGGAAATGCAGCAGCTACAGGTAAATTTCAAAGTAAAAATAGATACCAATAAAATTACATTAATTGAGACATCAGTAGGTTCTATGTTTTCAATGTTTACATAAAACTATAATTTAAGAAAAGGCTGTCCAACTCTGATTAAACCATTATTCTAACCTTCTTCAATGTAAATGTGCTTATGTATCCTTCCAATAATAATAAAGATAGTAAAATAATAAATGTAATAAAAATAATAATAATAGAAATGCAGTAATAATAGAGTAAAAAAATAAATGTAATAATAACAATAATAAAAGTAAAATAATAAAAGTAATAATAATAATAATAATAATAAAGTAAAATAATAAATGTAGTATAACAATAAGAAAAAAGTAAAATAATAAATGTAATCATGAAGAGTAAAATAATAAGTGTAATAATAATAAATAGAGTCAAATAAATGTAATAAAAATAATAAAAGTAAAATAATGTAAGTGTAATGATACTAATAATAATAGAGTCAAATAATCAAAATGTAATAATAACAGTAAAAATATAGTGAAATAATAAACATAATAATAATAAGAAATAGAGTAAAATAAATGTAATAAAAATAATAAAAAGTAATAATGTAAATGTAATGATAGTAATAATAATAGAGTAAAATAATAAATGTAATAATAATAGAGTGAAATAATAGAATGTAATAAAGCAATATTAGAGTAAAATAATAAATGTAGTTTTTTTGTCAGGAACAACTTGACAAACTGCAAGTAAATGTAATAATCACAATAATAATAATAAAGTAAAATAATAAATGTAATAATAATAAATAGAGTAAATAATAAATAGAGTAAAATAAATGTAAAATAATGTAAATGTAATGATACTAATAATAATAGAGTTAAAATAATAAATGTAATAATAAAAAATACAGTAGAATAATAAATGTAATAATAAAAGATTAAAATAATAAATGTGATAAAACAATATTAGAGTAAAATAATAAATGTAATAATAACAATATATAGAGTAAAATAATAAATGTAATTTTTTTTGTGTCAGGAACGACTTGACAAACTGCAAGTAAATATAATAATCACAATAATAATAAAGTAAAAAAATAAATGTAATAACAATAATAAATAGAGTAAAATAAATGTAATAAAAGTAATATAATGTAATGATGATACTAATAATAATAGAGTTAAAATACTAAATGTAATAATAAAAACACAGTAGAAAATAAATCTAATAACAGTGTAAAATAATAAATGTAATAAAACAATATTAGAGTAAAATAATAAATGTAAAAATAACAATAAATAGAGTAAAATAATAAGTGTAATTTATTTTCATGTCAGGACCAACTTGACAAACTACAAGTAAATGTAATAATTACAATAATAATAAAGAAAAAATGTAATAACAATATAATAAATAGAGTAAAATAAATTTAATAAAAATAATAAAAGTAAAATAATGTAAATGTTATGATACTAATAATAATAGAGTTAAAATAATAAATGTGATAATAACAATAAATAGAGTAAAATAATAAATGTAATTTTTTTCGTGTCAGGACCGTCTTCACAAACTGCAAGTAAATGTAATAATCACAATAATAATAAAGTAAAAAATGTAATAACAATAATAATAAATAGAGTAAAATAAATGTAATAAAAATAATAAAAATACAATAATGTAAGATACTAATAATAATAGTTAAAATAATAAATGTAATAATAATAGAGTGAAATAATAAATGTAATAAAACAGCATTAGAGTAAAATAATAACAATAAATAGAGTAAAATAATAAATGTAATAATAATAGAGTAAAATAAATGTAATAAAAATAATAAAAGTAAAATAATGTAAGATACTAATAATAGTAAAATAATATAAATGTAATGATAATAATAATAGAGTTAAAATAATAAATGTAATAATAGAAATACAGTAAAATAATAAATGTAATAAAACAATATTAGAGTAAAATAATAAATGTAATAAAACAATATTATAGTAAAATAATAAATGTAATAATAATAGAGTAAAATAATAAATGTAATAAAAATAATACTAATAAGAGAGTAAATAATAAATAACTTTGACTCAAGTATAAGCCGAGGGGAACTTTTTCAGCCTGAAAAACTAGGCTTATACTCGAGTATATACGGTAAGTACAATAGAAGGAAACGTCAGGCTATAACTTCTTGAATATTCAAATATGATCGCCTCCGACTCTAATCAATCCTCTTTTGCTGCGAATAGTGAAAACAATGCCACTAACTCTGATAGGGAAAATAAGGCCACTTTCTCCTATCAGCAGCTTGACTTTTTTTTTTCCTTTCATCAACTAAGAGCTGAAAAGGAAAAGAGTCGTGGGAGAAGACAAAAATATCTCAGTTCGGAGAGGAGGAAATTTTAAAAATGGCCCTTTGAAACCTCTGGCAGGACTTTTAATTAAGCGTGATAAAGCCGACCCAAGCTGCATTACAAGCGTAAGGACTTTAAATCATTAGATATAATTTTATCAAGGGAGCTAAACCCCTCTAAAGCTGGATCAGTTGCAAATAATCATATATCTCCTGTTCAGGGGGAAAAAAGGAAGGTAGGAGAAGCCGGTCCCGCAGAGACCTGGAGTGGCTCACCTTGGCCGGAGCGGCGTGGACCTCGGAGGGGGCCGCCGAAAAGAAGGAGCGTCCAGCGGCCGAGGGGCAAAAGGGTGGGAAGAAAAGGGGGAACGAGGAAAGAAGAGGTAGGTGCCACCCAAAGGGGGAAGATTTAAGCAAGGAAGGCCATGATGTCAGCTGTCATGGTCTATATTTCAGGGGCTAATCTGGGAGGGCCTGCAAAGGGGGGCAGCACGGAGGAAAAAAGGGGAGGGGAAGGGGGTCAATATGCTTG